TCTTGCGTACTGTCTCGTTTGCGTAACGTGAAGTAAGTTAAAACTGTGTGTGTCATATCGCAAAGAAGTGCATCCGTACCCTCACTGTTGCAATACGCATATTAAGAGAAATTATGAATAAAAGTAGCGAGGAGAACGTTTGGAAAAAATGTTAACAAGAAATATTTGTTGCCATGTAAACAAAACTAATTGCAATTACAAATGAGCTACATACTTTGTCTCTTATCTTTGATCCTGTCCCACCTGAAGAAATCACTACCACGAGATCACGGAGAACTTGACGGTACAGTTCGTGAAATACGTACTACCTATATTCCCCACTAATACAGCTAATAGCTCTAGACAACGCGCGCAAAGAGAGGAGCTACATTTCTTGGTACAGCGTAGACTTCTCGGGCAACGAAATATCTGTCGCATTGACCTCATCATTATGGAGTACACCACGACCTCCGTGCCTCGTGTCCTTGGGTAGCACCTCCCCTCCCCTGCGCACACTCCCCTCCGGAACCTGCTCGTTAAGGCCCTCGTGCGTCTATTAGCAAGGTGCAAGCCTTCGCATGCGAGAGGCAGCCAGTGCCGTTCTCAGCTGTCAGCGTCTCCGGTTACAGCCACACACGGAAAATTAACTGGCAACGTGCGCCCCATGTGTCGCTGTTAGCTCGTTAAGTTGACTGTCTTCTCTGTGGGTGGGGAGGGCGTTTGAAGACGTATGAGTAATGCAATTACTAAGATACTGTTTGCTCGTGTTAGGAAAGGTTGGTAAAAATTTACCTGCAAAAGGAATCAACAGACCTTTTTTTTCTTTTTTTTGTTATTTAAGGTCGCATCAACTACTAGGTCATTAGCGACCACTATTGCTTGTAACGGTATGGTAACTGTGGGTTGACACGATAATGATGATGATAGGGGGTGAAAGGACGAAACACAATTCAACCATGCCCGAGGCGGGACTCGAACCCGCGATCCTTCGGATCCTTCGGATGAGTTCACTACGGCACTACTGCCTTAGCGATCTCGGCCACCGGGTCGGCCTCAACAGACCTTGTTTTATAAAGAACCAACAATTTAATCGCACCGCCAAAATATGGGACAAACGTCACTGAGATATTTGTGAAAGAGGTTGAAAGAATGAAAAATATCTGATCATGGCACATCCACTTAAACATTTAGGACGAACTGTACACATGTTCTGTTATTTCACTGAACTTTCAAATTTATTAAAGGTTTCAGTAGTAACTGAAAATGTTATTTCTGAACTATTAACACAACAAAACGAACTCCGTTTTGTATTTATTGTTTCAAAGTACGTTCTTTATAAAAAAATTACTTTTACAAACAGAAACGTCGGATTCAGGATAAAAAATGGATCACAAAAAAGGTTGTGTACACGACTTCCATTGATCCACAAGAGACAAAATATTTCTTAAACGTCTGTCAATCTCTGTAACGCATAAACGACATTTTCTTAAAACAAACGGCTTAAAAGTTTTTTACGAAAATTTCCATATAGGAAAAGGTTTTCCCTAGTATAATACTCTGTCCTAAATCAGTTCTATCGTGAGAGAGCCAAAAATGTGAAAATGTGAAAAAGGCGCCGATAGATGGCGCCTGCGAAGAGGATAGTGCAAGACCGAAAAGCTAGCCTAAACCAAAGGAATTAGAAAACGATTGCGAGAAACTCTTTGCCATTCTAGAACGCCAAGAGTGTAAAACTCCAAAAGTTAAAATATTGCCAGAAAGAAAGTGATGTTGGGACACCCCTAGTTTCGATGCGTGCGGGAAGGTGGTAAAGCGAATTCATCCCGTATTTATAACGCGAGAAAGTATGTGCTTTTGGAGCACCACTAGTTTCCGTGTGTGAGGGAAGGTGATACGACGAAATCATCCCGTATTTATACTACGAGAAAAAATGTGCGTTTGGAGCACCACTAGTTTCGGTGTGTGAGGGTATATGGTAAGACGAATTCATCCCGTATTTATGATGTAAGAAAGTAAGATCTGTTGGTGTACCACTAGTTTCGGTGTGTGAGAGAAATTGGTATGACGAAATCATCTCGTATTTTACGGTCCGTATTGCAACCCTCTGTGGATGGGCGGCTAGGTCGTGCCCCAGTTGTGCCCAGCTCCACTTGCAGTGGCGCCGGGGGAATTCGCTCGCTCTGTCGCATCTCCGACTTCCCTCTGCGCCGCCCCCTTCATTTGTGTCTCTTCTCTGGTTCGCAGTCGAGTTCAAATCCTGTTTGTCACACGTACGCGGTGGAGAGGATCTACCATTATCAGCTGAGGCTTCCCTTGTCTGTCCCAAATGCGATGCAACCGGTGCTGTTTGAGACGGTCGGAATCACTATGTTCAATCGCGTTTATACTATACGTCTTTGTTTTAACCCTTCGTCAACACCAAAGGAACCAGAGTGAATGTGTTATCGAAGTGATGAAAACATTAACTAGATTAGTGGTATGTTAACTTGGATTGTTTGTGTTTTCTGTGTACAAGATAGAGCTGCAGAAAACAGTGAATTAAGATGATGAAAAAAAAACACTATCGAAAATAAATAAACAAATAACAATATCGTTTTAAGTGCCTCCTATCGTACTTTTTTACTGTAACTTTTTTATTCGAATTTCTAATTTTGCATGAAACATTTACAAGTAAACCGTGCATTTCTATGGAATACTCTCTTCACGTTGCAATATCAGTCCACAAATGTAAAGTATTATAATCATGAACGTTTGTTTGAAGAATGAAAACGGAAAACTAATTCAAGGATCCCGCAAGAAGTCAGTGAAACTAACTTACAACAATGTCTATAAACAGGAAAATATACATACATGATCACTAGATATATCAAAATTCTTTCAATGCGCAGCCAACAAATTCATAAGCCAAATTGATATGGTAGAACTCTTTAGAAAGCACCGCTCGTGAACATTAAGATAATAGTAACAAGTTAAACTGATAATTCTAGGTTTAGGTGAAGTACCCCGAGATAAAAGGCGTCGTAATTGAAATTGTAGAAATGACCTTATTCATTGTACGTGAAACGAGCATAATAAGAAACCTTATTCCAACAATGAAATACGAAGAAATTCGATGATGCAAATGAGCATCATCATAACACCGACCGTCTCCTTTCCATTTCGTAATTGTGGAAAAGGGAACGTCCCCATTCCGAGCACACAAACATATCCTGAATTGCGTTTTATCTAGAACAATTATAGAACCGTGTTCCCTTGGGATAAGATTATTATCATGAGAAGGAAATGAAATTTTCCTGTTCCACAATTTGCTCTTTCGAGAACACTGCATGGAGAGCTTTGAACACTGCATTGGAGCAAGCCCGATGTTCAAGTTGGAAGAAGTTCTTCAATGACCTTCACCTCGTGATGGTCAAAGAACTACCCATTTGTCAAAGAAGGAAGGACAGTGGAGTGACCAGTGAAGCGAAACGCAAGGATGTCACTAACATTCGAGGTCAATTTGAAGCGGAGGATTCAATAAACGAAATGGGCCGTAAAATTTTGAGAGTTGTCTTGGAAGGAAAGGAAGGGAATGGTTTAAGTTAAAATAGGAGTTTAACAGTTGCAGGTTTGAATATTTTTCGACAAAAAAATCAGATGTTAACGTCAGTCACTTACTCAAGATACGCAAACGGCTGCAACGTTAACCGCGTGGAAGGAACGTTTATGGGTACAACACCGAGTAAAAGATAAATGATATTTTGAATGTTGATTGTGGCTTTGAAGGCAGGGAAAATCACTGCATATAGCATACTTTTATTCGTTTTATCATTCATGCATTCATTATTCAAAAGGAGTGTTGTTAAACCATAAACTACATGAACGACTAAAGGACCAACGAATCAATCAATTAACAATATTCTAGTTTTCTGACGTTGAGCGAAGGACGAAAAAATGGAATAGAAATGCGGAGTTCTCAAATACGTTTTATATATAGATGAAGAATATAACAGTAATTTTATTCACGAACATTTCATCCCATTTAATTTTTAAAATATCCTATTGAAAAAATGGCCAAAACTCTGATAATACAAAATATGATAGTACAGACACATACGAAAACTCAAAAATGTGAACCTTAAGCGCCAAGTAAATCACAAAAAAACACAGAACAAGAAAAGTGTGATAAAAAATTAAGAAAATGAGGAAGATAGGAAGAAAGAAAAAATGAAGAAAAAGGACAGAGAAAGGAAAAAAGGAAATAGTGAAAGACGGAATAATGGAGAGAAGCCGGTTTGGAATCGAGGTCTAGAGGATAAGAACGCAAGAGAAGCAAATAAGCAAGCAAACCTAGGCAAGATACGAAGTGAAACGAGGCGTAAACGACAGGAGGGAAACATCCCGCAAAACCCCTCGCGAGAAGGCGATATCAGAGCGGCTCCGCCAAGTGGACAGAGAAATAAACAGCGGAGGGCGGGGCGAGTTGCGGTGGCGAGCGCTCGGCAGAGACGAGACGGTAAGAGCAAAGGGCGTGGGCGGCGCGGGGGCGGAGATGCGAACTGCCGGATGAGGCCAGACCTCGGCCCGGTGGCACTCACCCCGGGGGGGGGTAATGGGGTCCGGGGGTGGTGGCCGGCAAGGGGGGCGAAGGCCCGGAGGGGGCGGGGAATCAGAAAGGGGAGCTCGCAGCGATCCACCTGCGCGAGCTCCCTTCCGGAAGACTAATTAGCGGTTACGGCCGCCACGTTGGTTAATTACTCGCCGTTTCAACGGCCGGTCGCCCCTCCCCCCCAACGGCCTACCGCAATGTTTTTAGATGTAAATAGAAGCAGGACGCAGAAGAGGCGCCGGGGAACCGTTGTGCTTTATTTTTTAATTTTACGTCGTGCACTGCCTGCGCTCGCCCTCAATTCGCAATCTCTTGCGGCGGGAGAAAGAGAGAGAGAGACAGAGAGAGACAGAGGGAGAGAGGTTGGGGGCGTGCTGCTAGAAAGAGAAATAGTTTCCAATTACGGTGGAAGAAGGGGAGAAGTCGCTTGCAGATGACTCGCTGGAAGAGATTGATCTCGTGGGCAGCAGCCAAGCCGGAGGAAGGACGTAAAAGTGGTAGATACAAACGACGAGTTTTCAGGAATTGCACGTAGAATGATACCAATCTGAATACTTCGTTTTTGATCTTCTGATGCGAGATTTAAGAAGGCGACATGTTACAATTTGTCCGTTAGCTCACTAATTTACTCGATTTGCGCGAGTATTAGGTGAGGTGCAACTTTTATGAGAATGAAGAAAGTTAAGTTGAGACAGATGCATCACGGTCAATGATATGGTGCGAGTTCCACTTCACTAAACTACTGTGTACGTATGTGTGTATATGTATGTGTGTTTGTGTCACTTTCACACTACATTACCAAGGTAATGAAATGAATAAAAAAGAAATGCGTATTCAAGTGTGATTCATTTTGTATTGGCAATGCTCCTCATTCCAAAACATATCTGAAATCATTCACCCCTATGCGGGATTTAAAGCTGCAACCTTGGTTTAATGCGTGCTTAGCGCACACAGCCCTAACGCCACCAATCCGCCTAACTTGTGAATTTTACACGGCATTATTCACAGGCTATAGCGCATTTCTAATTTATTTTTTTCTTGCAAAAAATACAAAGATATGTAACAGCAATGACACACTTTATTTAAACATAATTGTTTTACACAAATGTTTCACTACCTTATATCAAAATATGTATATTCATAGATTATTTTTGTTTGTTTTAGGAACAACGTGGACTCAGGAAATGGTATGGCTTATTGCTAACAATTGTGATTTTGAGGGGGCGAGAAAAGTTCTACTAAACGAACGCTTCCCATTTATTGAGTAAGTGATAAAAGCATCAATTAATTACTAAGACATTCTCAAAGCATTTCATTATGTTTCAATAAGAGAAAGTATTTTTTAGAAAAACATTTATGTCAGTACGTCAATTGTTTTCATAGCAAATGTAAAAACATTTCCAAAGTGACTTAAGTATTTCTTCAGCTCTTGTCACTGTGTCGGATGGTTACTTTTAAATGTCAATCAAGTAATAACATATATCTCAATTACATAATACTTGAAACCAGAAAGTACGTAAAAAGGTCTTGATGATTTAAAATAGAACTGAGTTAAAAGCACGCGAGGAAAAGGTTTTCGTAGTGAAAATTGCGCCCATGACGATTTATCTTAAGAACATACGTGGTTCACTCAATGATTAAACGGTTTTAGTGAAGGAAACGCGAGCAACTGAAACTTTTGTAAGTGCTAATTGGAAACCATGCAAAGAGCAAGCACAGTTCAGCCGTTTGATTAATATTTACATAAAAATAACGTCTAAAGTTATAGATACAAAGGCGAGACCATTCGAAAAAAGTCGCAGAATGTCAATGCGTTCTATAATGTCTCTTACCATTTCACAGAGTAGAAACGTATGCTCCATGGTAAGACCTGTTCTGCATTTATGGCAGATAGGAGGTCGGTCACTGGGGAGAAAATAACTGTGCAAAATGGGGTGACGATTGGTTAGAACGCTGGTAAGAGTTATGTTCTCGCTTCTAACACTAAGATAAATCCTGAGGTTTTATAGAATTCTGGATCCCTCTGAGTTGCATATCAGTGTTCTGTCTCCCAGATAGCTATGACACGTTTTATGAAAAGATTTGCGTCATGCATAGACACAGTAAGAATGTCTATTTCTGTCTTCTTTACAGACACCTTTCCTGCCTGGTCAATTATCTCGTTTCCAGTTATTCCCAGGGATCTAACTTAAAATAAAGCTATAATTATGGAGCACTGGACAGTGTTAGATATTTAGTAAAAATCGTGTTCTCCATCTGTCTCAGTGTTACATATTTCATAGATATCTCATGGTGTACGATATTTAGTAACAATCGTGTTGGATATTTATCGTCAGGGAGGTACCGGCAGGAAAAAACATGGACTCAAATACGCTTCTACTAAAAATATCCCTCAATAAAGCCAAATGAACACATTTTATTGACTCCAAAAGCACGCTTTTGTCTGCACTATATATGATAAAAAAAGTCCAGTGAATTATCTTGAAAACAGTTAAAATTATTTGTGACTTATGGGAGAGTAGTACAAATTCTGCATGTTTGCGTGAGTTCTGAAATTTCTATGTCTTTTTTATATGATTATTCTCTTTAATATCTTGAATTACGAATTAAGGTACCAACAATCATTTGAACAAAATTTGATACTAGAAAATATTGGCTAACAAGTAAAATATATTTGCTTCGACAAGTGAGGTACAGACAGGAAATGACGATGAACACAGAGGCAAGACAGCTATAACTTGTTTCTATGATTATTTTGCTTAAACATCTTAGTTACGATAGTAATATTTGGTATTTCAAATACTGTCATTTTTGTCATAGTAAAGGAATATATAATTGAGTAATAAATCGAGTAGTTTTATAATAAATTAATTCGAGTATTTCTATTATCATGAAGTTTTTAAGGCATTCATGTGAGTGCGTTCAAAGAATACCATCGTTGGAGATTGTTTAAATAAACTCGATTACTTCGCTGACCGACTATGACATCACACAGAAACGAGTCAAAATACATAATATTTTGTGCTACATGACAGTATCAAGTAAGTAAGCTATCATGTGACCAGTATTAAACAAGAGAACGAGTTGAATACTTCCGAGTACTATGTTCATTAGTTTTTTACCTTATCCTATGTCTGAGAAAACACACGTGGCAGGAATTAGGGCAGACGAACGCGCTGACGAGACGCGTGTAAAATAGGAATTAGACAAGACGTGGAGTCACAAGAGACGTGGGACACGATAAAGTTTCTGTAATCCCAACATCATTCGACCATCGCGCAGTGGTTAAAATTTACGTTGTGCGGTAAAAATATTAGTAACTCCAAAAATATAATTCTTTAAAGTGCTCCCAAGTTATATTAATTAGTATTGAAGGTCACTAAAAGCAAATATGGTGTCAATACTTAATTTAAAATACAAGATCCACCATAATAGTTATAAATATTTGTTTTTAATCATTAAATTTGTATTAATTTATTATAGTAGATGTCATGCGTCTATATAGTATTAATATATTAGTATACGCTAACCATTAAGTAAAGCAGATTCAACATGATGACTCCAGAATTAATTGTAAAAATAGATATTTACATATTTAGAAAACACAAAGTGATGCCGGATACCTAGTCAATGTGGAGAGCTTTCCTCAGAAATTCACAGGGTTTATTGTGTAATCTAAAGACGTTTTACTGCCTTATTGTGGATCGACGCTTATAAAATCTAAGTCAGTACACTTGAAGGCGAGTTGACATCCAATATCACTGTTATGTAAGCACATACTCGTAACTAGCTATTTTTATCTTTAATCCTGGAAACCACATGGTTACACTTATATTTATTGACCGTTAACATTTACTATTATGAACATAACGCAGACGGGAATATGATTTGTATGATGATATGATTGATATTATTTGAAAAGTAATGTATTCTTTGAAATATTTCGTGTTCACAATAGTGACTAAAAAGAAATGCAAAGAAAAGGAAATCGACAGAATGATTCGGTTTTCATTATAATTATTAGTTGCAATACAATACCCGACTCAAAACACAACATAAATATTTAAATTGAATATTCTAAAAACTTCACATTCAATCCGTATGAGCTTGCTGTGCTAAGTAGGTAAATACATCAATGTTGGCAATGGGCGTTAAACGCAAAACGTATGGTACTGTTAAAAATACAAAAAGGATTCCATTTAGATTTAAAGAAACTCAATAAAGTGTGATTTTCAAGAAATGATTTGTTTGTTTTTCTAGCAAGCCGACAGGGAATATAAAATATTATGAATATTATTTTATCTTATGTGGCTGAAGAGAGCCATTGTCCAACCTAGAATACATTTAAAAAAAAGAATATTCTGTTTAAAGGCCACAATACAATTGTATTTTATTCAGCCATAACATATAAAAACATACATTACTCTGTAAAGGCAACGAATGTTTTAAAACAGAAATAAAAGGTAAAACATCTCGTCTTCTGTTGACTTGTCTACATAGCGTTATCTTCTCTTTATCGGTAGTACTAAACAGGCCATTTTAAAGAGGAGTATTTAAAATATAAATACGAATAATAGAAATCCAAAGATATGGAATAATAATAATATATTTAAAATTAATTTTGGCAAATTCACTATTTCTATTTAATATATGATTATTGAAAGGTTAACATTTAAACCCTTCAGTTTTAGGAGAACACGTTTATGGTGTTGTCATTAGATCAGAAATAAATGACCTCACAACCTACACTTAAACCTACACCATTGAAATCGAATTAAAATAACATGTAAAATAATTGAATTATTTCCGCTCTTCCTCATTTCTGAAGCACTGTGCAACACGTGCACAGCAAAGGGAAGGGGCAAAATGTGTGGATTAAAACTTAGTTTTTTTAAGCAGACAGTTATTTATTTTTTCTCTTTTCATTTCCGCCAGTTTCTGCGGTGTCCCCGAATAAGGCACTTGCAATTCCCGTGAGCAGTGAACAACAAAGTCTCATCCTGTATTTCCATGCAGATAATAGGAGAATTGCGGAAATTAAGTAAACAAGTTAAGGCAAACCAACGTCACGCAAATTATTTTATACAGCAGATGTTTTGATGAAGTAATTATAAATGCAAAATTTAACCAGTTTTTTATTTTAGTATTTTCTACTTGAATGCTAGGTCATCCTAAAAATTATCCAGAACCGTATAATATTCGAAAAATAATACGTTGCCCACTTTTGGATGCAGTCAAAGAGACTTCGTGTACCTGAGAAACATAAATTTAACATGCATTCCGGGGTGGCAGTAGAGATAGTGTTAATGCATAATGATTGTTAATTAAGGGAACGAGGAGTTATCAACCACAAAGCACATTACAACATGAATTTAATATAAAGAAAGAGTATATTTGTTTGTTTTGTAACTCAAAGTGTACATGGCCTAGCCGTAGTTACATGGGCACTAACCTATATTATTTATAAAAGGTGAGTCGAAGACAATGTTTTCGCCCGCTGGGTCTTACATTGAAGTTTTGGACGAGAAAAATTGTTATGTGAAACAACAATTTTTAGCTTAATTCTAGAGGGCGTACCATTTTCTCAAACATGGCAATATTTTTGAAACTCGTTTGAAATTTAGTATAGTAAAACAATAGATCCATCGTAAATGTCTGGATTTTTTATGTTTTTCACACATTGATACCAAACGACACTTGCACAAATATATAACATTTTGGATTACCCATTTTGTTGTTAAAAATGTCTAAAAAGTACCATTTTTCCAATATTTGTAATTTTTTACCAGTACATTGTTGTAATCGCCCATTCTTCATGAAAACTCATACATGGTGGTTTTTGGATTGCTAAAAACAAATACTATGATATATTTTATTAAATTTCAAATGGCCGATTCAATATGGCGGACAAAAATGTGGGTACATTTGTGTATACTGTCAGTCTGCCAGAGTATTCTGCACGGCGTACAAGATGGCGAGTTATGTCCCACATGTTTTATCCATCCATACTTGGAGCCACTGGGGATTGGATAAATTAGTCCTGAAACACATGTATGGCTATTTATTTATATTAAATTTATAATGCAAATATACATTGTGGTTGATACCTTTTCGATCCTTAATTAATAATTATAATGGAAGGTGAGTTTTCTGATATTCAGAGGCATATTTCATACGTGTAACTTCGTTGTATGCAATTTTTTACTACTTGTTAATTGGCAAAAATGGATCATTTACTGAACCACCTACATGATTTACAAGTTTGTAACATTTATCCTAAGTCATTAAATACAAAAAAAACATTATGAAATATTAGTGTACGAGTTTAATCCCTAATACAGTAAAAAGTACGGTATTGACAGACGTAAGGGAAAATCTAACAGTAAAGGAATAACGAAAACGAACAGAACCAATTCAATTCAATTCAATTGCTGTATTTGGTTTTGATCAGATTCGTGTCTTTACTTTTCACATATTTCGCGTGTGGAACTTGGTTATACGAGATTTCCTACAACACACGTAACGAAACTGAGAAGAACCAATGGCGGTTTACCATATGAAATTACAGAAGAAATGTATGAGACCATATTGTAAACCTCTTACAGTAATTGAAGTACAAGAACAAAATGAATCTTTTTGTAAAAAGAAAATAAGGAATGGAAGAAAAATTAATCTCCGAGCTCATTCTGTACCCCAAAATTATTTTTTTACATGTTTTGACTGTAATTCGTATGCTAGAAATTTCACAAAGTATTTTGACAATATGAAAACACAAATTATTTTGGCATTCTCTGACATGTTTCATTGCTTCATTTACTGTGTCAAACAAATCTTCCAACGCTTTGTCTTTTGCTCTGCTGTTCTTCGTCGATTTCAGCACAAATGTGTGCAATTAAAAAGATTCCTTTTCTATACGCAAGTAAGAACATTATTTCATATAGCTAAAAATAGATAGTCAAGGCGAATTACACTACGAAGAACTGAAAAATGTTGCGAATGCAAGCGTAGTGTATCTCTCAGGTAAATTTGTTCATAAATTCCAAATTTTTGCATTCAGCCAAGACGACAGTGTCAGCAGTAAGACAACACTTAATAATGCTTGATGAAACTCCATTTTACTCATTTGTTATTTGACCAGGAATGTTGTTACCATAATGTTGAGAATATATATTCCTGCTGTCACCGACTGTACGGTTCGTGAGTTACACCGAGAATTCTCCAGTGTTTAGAAATACTCCTTTTTATTTCCGTTGCTTTCAATGTTGAATTCTATAGAAATTGAACTATAAAGATGTAATCTTGTTTCAGTGGAGATAAATACTCTTAGCTTACTTTGGAATTAGAAAATATTTAAACTTATATTTACTAGAGTTACTTCGGGTGCTCTATATATTATTGTCGAAGGGCGAAGTTTATTTGAAGGTGTTGAAAGTTGTTTCGCTTTTAAATACAAAAGCTGTTCTTGGTAAATATTTTACGAGAAACATGTTTACATTATGCGCTACAAAAGAAATAATACTATTATAGGAGCAGTGTTTTTAAGCACTTATCTCACCAAAAGTATTAAGTACTCATCTGACCAAATTATTCAAAAAATGAATTCCAACTACGTGGATTCTGTTTTATTTGTTGACGTTAATAATTTTGCTGCAAAACAATGTTTTATAAATCGTGAACATTATACACAGAGTTGTAAATGCAATTTTTCTTCCAGATTTGGTATGATTACGGCAGATACCGGCATTGAAGGTGATACTTTTGCAAATGCAAAGAATATGCAACCACCTAGGTTCATAAAATCTCATCTTCCAAAAGGCTTGTTGCCAAAGGAATTATGGACCAAGAAACCTAAGGTACAGACTGTGGGCTTTATGGATTAATAATTATGTTTCTATATTTATTGAGAATACTTTTTAAAGTCTGCGTAAAATATCAGTTGAACCATAGTAGCAAGACAAAAATTGTAAAGAGATTTTAGTGATTAAGCTGACTAATCCACTCCTGAAATTGAAACCAATATTTTTTCACATACATATAAAATATTCATATAAGGGATGTGTGTCTAAAAAATTATCGTTCTTTTCCATCCGATTTTTCTTACCGCTCCTATTGGCCAATAATCTGCTGCGATTCTCTCTTAGGCGACGGTATAAATTGATCGCTGTGTGAATGTGCAATAAATTTCGTATGTACTATAACATAACCTCTTTCATTTTAACATGCTTTCAGTTATTTTCAGATCTTTGACGCATTTTGGAACTCTGTTAGACATAATTTCATTCGTAATTCATAATTCCTGATTTCATAATTTTTTTCCATCATTCATTCCTCGCTTTGTGAGTCGGGGATTTCTCGATAATATCCAAAGCACTCTTGGTATTACCTTTGATCAAGGTTTCGTCTACCTATGATAAATAGTTTCGCTAAAGACCTCATCATAATGACGTCACGGGGGTACAACAGCTTTTATTACATAATACCAACATAATCTCTTAAATTAAGCTATTGTACGACAATGTAATATAAACGCAGAATCATCCTACTCTGTTATAATTTACTCAAATGACAATATAAATATTTAAACCTTCTTCTAGATCGTCTACGTTTCCCGGGATCCAAAAGACGCGGCTCTATCTTTTTATCATCACTACAAACTCATGAATGGCTACAAAGGTAGTGTGGAAGACTATCTGGAAGCTTTCATGAATGATGCATGTAAGTAATATATCTATGCCTGATATAAAATAAAAATATTATTGAACTATTTACATTGGATATAATGACAGAATTGAGTTTGTTTCGTAAAAAAATTTAAATTTTGCGCATCTAATTTTGCTCTCTGTAGTATTCAAAAAGGACTAAGTGTTGCATCTACAGCGAAAGGAAAGTGTCCTTTTCGTACTTTCAGAAGTACGTGGAAGATTTGTAAGTGAACAATCTGTATTTAAGGGGAAAAAATAATTTAACTGAAACATTCGCTTTTTAACTTAATGTATTATAATTTTTTCAATAAATGGAAACTCATTATATTCCTGTACTAGACCCACAAATTCATTATAATTTAAAAGTACAAATACATTTGCGTGTGTAATGTCACACATTAAAATTTAATAATATTTGCACTTGAATTATAGTTGAACGCTAGTTTTATATAATTAGGTTTGTTGAAATTAAGGATAAAACTAGAAGCTATCATATGAACAGAAACTGTGTTTCTATATTATTAATGTACAGAAATGATCCTTATTTAGATTTGTTTTTCAACTTAAGTTCCTGTAAATATGTTTTATGTTCACGTAAATTAATGTTTTCAATTTAAAAACGTCAGAAGCGTACAAAATTGGTGCAGTCTGGAGTGACTCTGACTGGGAGGTCCTAGAGTTCAAGTTCCGATGGTGATTTTTCGACACTGCCTTCATAGAAAGGTGGAATTTACCGTCTCTTCGATGAAAAATTCTAGAAACTGGCTGCTCTGAGCGGTAGTTTTCTCCTATCAATGGTTTCTCCAATCTATTCTAGGCACATTACAGTGCATTATCCTAATAAACGGACCATAGCTCCTCCTCCATTATTATTCATCATTATTATTGCTCCCTTTATTCACACACACACACACAAACTCGCCCTAGATTACCACATATTTCGGGAGGCCAATCGGCAGCTTGAAGCTTGAGCCGCTGTGGCGGTGCTTCTCTGATGAGATACTTGGACGGGGAAACCCCCAAAGCTCATGTGTAGATCGGCGCCAGCTTTCACCATCCAGCTAGGGAGGAACATCACTATTTCCCCGCGATAAAACATTAACTAAACTAACGGGACCAACGACAATAGATGCTACTGCTACCAGAACTTCCATAGAATCGCCCGTTGGGGTGGTTAGCAGATATCGTGCTCTTGCGAGCTAATAATACCATAGGACAGTGGGATCTTTTCGGGTGTTGAGAGCCAATCCAAAAACAACACATAAATCAGTTAAACTGTGTTTAATGATTTAAAAAACACTTCGTCTCTTACAAATCGCACAAAATTTAAAAAAAAAACACAAAACACAACATTTGAGACCCTTTCAATAACTTAAAAATCTAATCACAAAATAATCATCCTAATATCTACTGGGAATTCTCTTTGTAACTCTGCTTGACTAAATCTGTTTGAATTCCTTTTTACATTGAACATGAACAAAATTTAGAATTTATCATTTTCACTCAATGTTACACGTAAAATGTGGGCTAATGCACCACTACAATGTTTGTTGTGGCAATGAATAACAAGAATGAATAAGGACTATTTACACTTTCTTTGTAGGCAATAGTGCTTCAAAATGGACAGAACTTTGAATTTAATTATTTTGCCTCCCGTGTCCTTAATTCTCTCGCACTTTCCTTCTAACTAGTTCTCCCCGGCTGACGTGAACTTGACCTACTTGTGCGGTGCTCGCGTACCGACACCTCCCTCTATATTTGATGTCTGTCCTTGGCGTTCTCTGGCTTCTGTGTCAACGCCGCTCGCTTCCAAGTTTCTGCGATGCCAAAGACGGGACTGCCTGATGCCTTCTCGCGTCCTCTTCCGGTCTTGATTTCCCGGTTCCGTCCTCTTCTGCCTCTTACGCCCCGGTTCCGTCCTCGTCTTCTTCGTCGCCTACGCCCGGCTCCGTCCTCGTCTTCTACGTCGCCTTCACCCGGCGCCTTTTACTTCGCCCGCGTCAATGTTTCAATGCACCTCACAGGATAACTCGTGCGAGTTCCGATCGTGCAGGTCAGGCTCGCGGCTGATTGCCCTTCACTAGATCTCAGCTCGTACTACTTTCTTAATAACGGGTAAATTCACTCCCAGCGTCGTGGTCCAATGAATTACTTACTTCCGGAAAACTATGAAAGTTAGCAGACGGCTGACTAGGCGTCTATTCGACGTCCAACAATCCTATCTAACAATCGGAGTCGTTATTGCGGCTGACAATATCTAAGGCGAAGTGACAATATCTAGGCGAACGGAAACGAAAGAGAGCTACCGCACGCGGGTTCTCTCTACGCACCCACCGATGTAGGGGCTAGCGTGGCGTCTCCCCCTCTCCGGCTGATTTCACGTCATATTCCAGCGCTGTCCAGCGGGTACCGCGGGCAAGAGTTTCCTTGGCGGCGTGCGCGCCCTTTTTGAACTGCGCAGCGCTCGCGCACCCGTTCTGTCACACGCGTTCTCACGACGTGTGGGCATGTGGGACAAACCTACTCACATGCGTTCGTCAATCTATCTATATCTATCTATCTATATCTATCTATCTATCTATATCTATCTATCTATCTCTATCTATCTATCTCTATCTATCTATCTATCTATCTCTATCTATCTATCTATCTATCTCTATCTATCTATCTATCTATCTATCTATCTATCTATCTATATCTATCTCTATCTATATCTATCTCTATCTATATCTATCTCTATCTCTATCTATCTCTATCTCTATCTATCTCTATCTCTATCTCTATCTATCTCTATCTCTATCTATCTCTATCTCTATCTCTATCTCTATCTATCTCTATCTCTATCTCTATCTCTATCTATCTCTATCTCTATCTATATCTATATCTATCTATATCTATATCTATATCTATCTATATCTATATCTATATCTATCTATATCTATCTATATCTATATCTATCTATATCTATCTATATCTATCTATATCTATCTATATCTATCTATATCTATCTATATCTATCTATCTATCTATCTATCTATCTATCTATCTATCTATCTATCTATCTATCTATCTATCTATAGTCCCCGTACTCACCCTTCAGGGCATATGACCACATACGCATATGACTACACATGAACCAATGACCACATATTTCATCGACTGGATAAATTTATTAAATATGGGACAAGGAGTCCGTTGCAGGGGGAGGGACTATTCGGCGCCGCCCGAAATGGAATCGTCGCCGTGATGCCCACCGCTGATGTAATAATTGGTAGGGACCAATTCCAAATAATCACAATGTCATCACCTGATTCATCACCCCTACTGCCCTTCACTCAATAACACTGTCTCTTACCGGCACGTAGCGGTAGCTACTAACCAGCACTGTCTTTACGTTATGTATCACGCTATTACTATTTTACTGGTTTATTCCCCACATGAATTAAACTTGTATCTCGTGACATTACTTTTCACCTTCGGCATTCCTATTTTTTAGCACTTTCGCTTTCCTCGATGTGTCGACATAACTTAACACCGACTCGTTCTCTCGCGCGCTCCTCTGTCGTCTGCACACCACCATGTTCTACCCGTTACTGCCTGTTCTCCGCCGCCCACGAACATCTCACTACCTCCCGCAGTGAACGAGCGGACGATCATTCTTGGGCTTTCTTGCCGCGGTTCACGGAGCCGTTCGTTCTGCGCGTGGCTTTTGAAATGTTTAAACTATTGCAATTTACAGAGACCACTCGGGTCTCAGCATATATAACAGCACGAAATGTAAAATAAGACAAATGGAAGAGAAACGAGGAAAAAACAATCCTACAATTAGCTCAGTATATCTTCTTCAAATCTAAAAGAGGAAGCGCGATTCAAAACCTGTTGCTTAGTCGATCACACAAGGTTACATTACACAAACACCGTAATAGCTCCTGTTTATTTCGCGGAGTACATTGCTGAGGGTAGGTGTCGACATTGGTATTATCGGGAAGCGCAGCAAGAAATAAAACATTTCACCGGGATGAAAAGCTCAATGATATTCCTTTTAAATATTTCGGAATTGGAAATTTTATTTATCTATTTATTTATTTTACTATTTATTTATTTATCTATCTATTTTTTATTTATTTTGACAGAAAATATCTCTCTGACATTGTAACTTTAATAATTTAACTTTAATAAAATTAAAGTTAAATAATAATAAAACTTTAATAAAATTCAAATTATTCACAATTTGTCACTTCGCTCCGGAATGGAACCCCGGCTTACGCCCAGGATTACGCCCCGTTACTCTAACCATTCAGGTACAGCGACGACCAACGAGTTCTTAGGCCTAATATATTAACGGCCATATGATATTCCATTATCACTTTGTTGGATAGGAAAGTACGTCTGAAATGTTGGTGTAGTGACAATTAAATGAAACAAATTCAGCTTTACTTCCTTCCTAAAGTGACAAGAACCTTTTGCGACTTTCGAATGAAAAAAAGCCGTGTAATTTAAAAATGAAGTTGTGATGCCGATCCACTATAAAGGGTTGCTAATAGAAAATCTTATAAACCTTTAAGGTCATGCAGAAAGTAAACTTAGAAGATGGTGTGAAGTACACATTTTTTCAATGAACATGTGGTGGGAAATTGCATGAAACGACGTTGCATACTAGACATTTGCCCCTGGTAGGTAGGCAACGTTTTGTACACTGCGGTGTGGCAGTTCACATTCTGATGCGATCGAAGATACTTCGTACATACCGATCAAAATCGTACGATGCTGCCCTACAATCAGGGACAATTTTTAATAATAAAATAATTATTTTGAACCTCGACATATGAAATTTCCGTCATGTTCTTTGGCATAAAAATAAAACTTAAACTACCTATATTCTCTTGACGTTTTTATGATTTATTCCGAGTCACCTGTAATGGTAGACACCCGATTTTTGCTAACATATTGCAACTTTTCTGTGCTTTAGGATCGCAAATAAATTATTAAATAAATAGTACAGCTCCCGTAGTC